CCACAGTTCACACCCACCACCATTTATATGCTCCATTAATATTTATAAGGATGACGTGTCTCTTTGACAGGAACTTGTGCCTCCGACGACAACAGATGTTACACCATTTATGAAAGAAACTACTCAAGCATTTCCAATGGACCTTGTCCATGCTCATCATGTCTTTATCCCATGCTCTGATTATATTATCCACGGAGAGCCTGGGTGACCTACTGACTCAAGCCCAAGAACATGGATAGCAGCACACTTGCCTGTAGAGTCCTTAAAACTTTTCAGAGTCGCATTATGTCTCTGTGGATGTTCTTCTGGGAGCTGGAGACCTTTCAAATGCACCTGATAGCTCAAACTAGAAGCGTGTGAGGCATTACTTGGCAGACTCCCCCATCTCATGAGGATTTGCCACTTACCTGGGCCTCCAAAACACATGGCAAGTAGCTGAGGCTGCAGGATTGTCTCCCACAGTTGCCTTTGCCACTGCCACCACAGCTGCGTTAGTGATCATACACGATCTACAAAGAACTAAAACCTGTTATTACACGCTGCAATATACTGCTCTATGCATGGGCCTGCAGGAAAACACATGCAGCAAGACACTGATCCCATTATCTCTGCTAAAACCACACTGCTCCTCAGCTAAACTGTAATTTATATCATGTGTGGCAGCACCAGCCTCTGGCAGGACAGAGCTCCCTGCTTTAGCAAAAGTTAAACTCCCACCCTCCATGGAGGAGAAAGCAGTGCCTGTACACCTCCCTGTCAGCAGACAGCAGGATGGGTTTAACCTGGAAAGAATGATATGGCTAAGTCAACGGGTTTAGTGAAATCTCCTTCAGGAACCACCATGCATGGGCAAGCACTGAGGTATAAGACAAGGTATCTAAGGAACATTTTCTTTTACTAGATTGCAGTTGACATTCCCATTAAAATGCATGAGGTTATCATGAATTGCTTCACCTGATGTGATGGAGCTTGTTTAAAGTGGCACAAAAATGTCACATTATCCCTGTGGGCTAGAGCAGATAGCCTGCAGTGACTTCTTCCTCCAGAATGGCAGCTCTAGTAATGCCCTGATATTTATGGCACATACATTTTTAATGTCCGGCACAAACTGCTCCAGCATTTGTCAACTCATTTGACCTGCAGCTTTTCAAAGAAAATACAAAAGGACATGCTGCAGAGCAAGAGCTAGCAATGTGTAAAATACCTCGCCATCAGCATCCACCAAGTCAGAACAGAAATTGGATGTTATAGCCATAGCCAACTCTCTCTGGCCATTCTTGGCCAAGCTTTGCTAGCCCACTGCTGGAGTCTCCTCTTGTGCATCCAGAAGTCTTAACCCTGTGCCTGCAGCTCCTCACTGCTCCACAACATGCAGATATAAGGCTTGTGAGAAATCATTGCTGTTCAGCAGCCATCAGCATTTCATCAACCAAGTTCTGATGCGTCTGAACCACGACTGAGGTGAATTCAGGAGTTCCTTCACTTCACATGTTCCTAGATTAACACTGCAGCATCTCTAACCTTAAGTTAGGTCTGAAGCACAATCAATACAAACAACTGCAGTAAAGAGGCCTGGCAGATTTGGGGACTGCGTCTGCAGCCACAGTGGTGCAATGTTTCTTGTGTAAATCAGCAGAATTTACACCAGTGTAACACCCACTGTTTGAGCATCTCTGATTATGTGCGCTAGGGAAAGCTAAGCTTTCTCTCAAGAGAAAACAAGCTCACAAACCCTTGGAGTTCATCTTTTACCACGTGATTACATACACTCAGTGTGTTACTGTACATTTTTTAAACGTATGTGCACGTGTGTATTCGTGTTTTTATGCATGTCTGCTGACCTTACATGCCTATTTTTGGTTCAGAACAAAGATGGCTCCTTCAGAATCGTGACACCTATTACTTCACTGTAGTTTGCACCCATACGATTGTCTTTTTTCCCCTCCAATTTAGGCAAACTATGAATAAACTATACACAAAACACAGTTACAGGTATCTCTACTTGCTTAAAGAAAAAAATGTTATGTACCTGGCCTAAGCATTTCTGCTTAGTCTGCATTAATGGCATCAACGAAAAGGATGAGCCGTTTCCCGCATTGCGTTACACGCAGCGCTGGGTGCATCAGAAGCAGAAGGACAGATTTAGTCATCCAGCCCCGGGTACATCCCACTCTGTCCTGCCTGGTGCAATGAACTGTGTCATGTACAGAGCAAACTCTTTGCCAAAATCCAAGCATCGTTGCTTTAAAATACCAGGAAGAAACATAATGGAAGCACCTTTCTGAAAATAAAGTCTCCTGTCCATCGCGATACAAAAAGCAGAGTGGTCTGAGCTTAGGACTCCAGCCAAGATATCCCATTTGCTGGCTTTACCTCTCACGCGCTCCCCTGCGAAGGCCACGAGAAGACAGTGCTTAACATCCCTATCCCGGTTTGCACTTTTATCAGACACAGATTAGCATATTGCAGACACGGATGTTTATACGGCACTTTGAAGATGAAAAGTGGCATTAAGTAATAGTAGGACCGACTAAGAGCTACCCCGGCCTTTCTCGGCTCACGTGCCGTTACCCGGGACGAGTCAGACACCAACCTACAGACGCGGATCAATAAAAAGCAGTAGAGCTGGGGGTCCCAGGGCTCTCTGCACAGCTGTGGGCGCCCCAGCTCACGCCAGACGTCTCAGCAAGGAAAACCTTGGCACCACCAAAACCGGAGGGTCTTCCCTGGGGCTTTTAATGGCGAAATGAACAGGGGTACGGCAGAGCGGGAGGGGAGCCGTGCCGGACACGTACAGGGAGGCAAGCGTGCAGCTCCCCGCCGGTGATGCCGATTCAAGCGGGGGACGCGTCTCCCGTTTCCTCAGGCGGTAAAAATATGACGTGCATTAGCGAGGAGAATAAAAGGAGGGAAACAAAGGAGCGGGAGCAAACACCTGTCGCTCTCCTCGGGGACGAGCCCTAATGCTTTTATTTGCCTCAGTCTGCTGGGGGAACTGCAGCTGCCAACTGTCATCAGCATCAAGTTACCCGCACAAAGCTGGCCTGCCCGGCGCTTTCAGCCAAGGCAGGCGGAGGGCTGCAACGCGCCCAGGGACGGCACCAAGCATTTGGGGCGCAGCTCCCCATGGCCACCCGGCAGGCGAGCAGCCCCCGAGCTGGGAAAGGGCTGCGCGGCCCTGTCTCGGCCAACCGCCGGAGAACGGCCGCGGTGCTAACGCGGCATGGCCGCACAGCCTGAAACAAGCGCGTCATCCTGGGCAGGCACCCAAACCCAGTCGCGAGAGGGCCTGACTTCAAAAGCCTCCCCGTCCACTTGGATGGGGACAGGGCAGAAGAAGCGGACCCCTCGGCAGCTGTGCCCGCTCAGGCCCCGCTGGGTTTTCGCTCGGGGATGAACTGGCCTCTTTCACGCCCAGGTTGCTGCTCGTGCCCGGCCGTCCCTGCCCGCGGCCATAACCCCCGATGCTGCCGGCAGCGAGAGGCATCGACGGCCTGGGGGACGCTCTCCGGCTGGGCCACAGGGGG